AAAATGAGAGAGAGAGAGTGAGAGTGTGTGTGTGTGTGTGTGTGTGTGTGTGTGTGTGTGTGTGTGTGTGTGTGTGTGTGTAGAAGTGACAGAGGTGATAGAGGGCCCAATCTTTTGGAGAGGATAGGAAGTATGAAACCAAGAGAACCTGTAGAGCTCTGACACAGCTCTATCAGAAGTTGCCATCTTTTAGGAGCAAAACCAATGCCAGGAGAGTGGAAAAAAGAAGGAACAGCCACTTGGGGGTGAAAACACCAGAAGCCTGAGACTTATGAGAGGGGAAGTTTCTTTCACTAATGTTCAACACATCACCTTAGGAACATGAGGAATATATTTGCTAACCTCTTCAAGTGATTCTTCAGCAAACAAGAAATGCAGAGTCTAATGATTACCCTGGATGCTGCAGGAAAAACAACTATTTTGTACAAACTGAACCCGGGTGAAATAGTAATTACTATTCTCACTATAGGTTTCAATGTAGAAACTGTAGAATACAAAACATTAGTGTCATGGTGTGGGATTTAGGTGACCAGGACAAGATCCAATCCCTATGGTGCCATTATTTTCAGAATACACAAGGACTGATTTTTGTTTTGTTTTGTTTTTCATGGTTGACTAATGATAGAGAATGAATGAATGAGGCCCCAGAAGAACTGATGAGAATGCTGGCAGAGGATGAGTTTAGAGATGCCATCTTATTAGTGTTTGCTAACAAATAGGATCTTCCCCATACCACGAATGCAGCTGAAACCACAGATGACTTGGACCGCACTCTTCATCACAGAAACTGCTCCATCCAAGCCACCTGTGCCACCACTAGTGGGGACGGGCTCTATGAAGGGCTGGACTAGTTGTCCAATCAGTGCCAAAACCAGAAATGAAACAACAGAAGTTCCTTCTCCCTCTTTTCCTTCTCACCCTTTTATTTCCTCCTATTCGCCATACACTTTACTCCAATGTGGCGAACTGTGCTGCTTTGTGGTACTGAGTATGAGAAGCTGGTTTTTTCCTCTCCTTGTCATAGTATACATTGTACCATGCTTTAAATGTGACAAAAACAGGCCTAAAAATTTAATTTTATTTAATGTAAATAGTTTTCACTTCCAGTGAGGCACTTTCTGGCACTCTTATGCAATATTACTCAGCTCTTTCATTTTAGAAAAAAAAAATCAGCTCACTGCATAATACTGGGTTCATATTTTATGAACGTTGGCAGCTGAGCTTCTGGGAGTTAACGTGCAGTAGCAGAAGCAAATACTGCTCCTACTGGCTTAGGAGATCTGCAACAAAATCCATTTTGGTGGCTGGTTTTTAGTCCGAGCTTAGCTTATTTTTTTTTAATAGTTAAGAAATAATTTTAAAGACAAGTAAAACACTTAAACACACAGAAGGGAGAAATGTGCTTAGTGCAGGTTTTGCAGTAATAACGTGAAGACCATTTTATTTGTCAGCAATTTCTCTTTTGAAACATGAAAAAAGGGGCAGCCAAGTGGCACAGTCAGGAGGACCTGAGTTTAAATCCAGCCTCAGACACTTAACACTTATTAGCTGTGTGACCCTGGGCAAGTCACTTAACCCGAATCGCCTCGCCAAAAGAAAAAAAAAGAAAAAGAAACTTGAAAAAAGGTGAGAAAAATCAAATAAGTGATCAGTTTTGCATGATTAAAATAGAGATCCATGAAATACTATGCCTTGGGATCTTTAAGTATTTTATAGACATTGGGCTTATATTTGTGCTCATATGGGTATGATGGAATCCTAATAAAGCTGCCCCCAGCCCCCATATGCTAACTTCCTTATGGGCCTCACTGAATAGCAGGTATGTCCTGATTTAACCACACAATCTGGCTTTAACCACACCACAGGCCCCCCAGACTCAGTCATTGGCTTCACTGAACAGGAGGCCCACTGCCCTTATCTAGCCGCTGCCCCTCCCTCCAACTCAATATCCTAACTTCCTCATATATGCTTTACTGCCTCACTAGAAGAGGAGGCATGTCCATGTGATGGAATGCTAGCCACTGCCTCTAGCTAGCCACTGTCCCCAGACCCATTCCTCATATTTCCCACAGAAACAGCAGGTGTGTCCATGCACTCAATCACAAACACATCCATCCAATCTCAGACAGGACCACAATAGCCAGGCAATCAGGAAGCAGCACCACCAGGATGCCCAAGCAGGATGTGGACCCCAAAACAATAGAAGGGACATTCCATAAGTAGGCACCTGTACAGTAATAGCAAAAGCTGTCCTATACATGAACTTATGACATAGAGAGGCTTATTATAATATCATTATCATATATTAATACCCCCACTCCGTTTGGGTTTTTCTGTATGCAATGTGGATAATCACATACAAAGTTCCACTAAGCCTGGGACCCCATCCCGATTACCTAATTCCTTAACAACCCCCTCCTGCCTTTTTAATATTTACATATTCTGTTATGTAATTGGCATCTTTTACTCTATAAAAATCCCCATCTTCCTCTGATAAGTTGTAGGTTCCCCCTTGGGACCCAGCCTGCTTCTGAAAGGCGTTCCCTCCCAATGAATGCCTTTGCTTGGATTGGAGGTGGTCTGAATCTGTGAATTCATTTGAGATGACCCCCACAACACACCATGAAACCACAACAGATACTTATTAAAAAAAAAATCTTTGAGGTTGTAGTTAAGAGCAAGTTGAACATTGGGATGAATAGATATTCAATCATAAACTTTTTGTAACTAGACTTTTTCCCCCTTGCAGTTCAGGACAGGTTGGAATTATTTCTCTATCACACTTGAATAACTTAAGGACACAGTGATGACTAGTTATAAAATTAAAAAGCTTTTTGACATACTTTGAAAACAAAAAAACACTTTAAAATTTTGGTCAAGAGTGTGATGCTTCTGTTTGAAACCACTGCAGAAACCTCTCTATAGTAAGCATATCTCATATGAGCCCCAAAGCTTAGTTGGATATATTTCAAAGACATAGTCAAGAACACCAGACATTTCTCTGTGGCATCTGGGTTTTGAAAGAAAATAAATTGAACATGAGAGCTTGAGGAATTATTCTATTCTAGAAATATTTGGTCCTATTTTGAAACAATCACCCCAACTGTACACGTGTGAAATGTCCTTTAGTACCCCTCATACTACAAGGGTCAGATTTGCCATCGAAAAAAAAAACTGGAGCTGTTAAACTTAATCTTGGGAAAAACTTAGAAATGGTTTGGTGTTGTAGAAACACTGCTTTCAATACTCAATTAGTAACCAACTGTTTTGTATATTTGTTTTCGGTTTTTATTTCAACAATCAAGCACTGTAATTAAAGCTATTAGAATATAATCTCTGAACTATTTTTTAAAAGAGTACATGGAAAGGGATTGGCTTTGGTCAGGAGAAAGGCTACCTATTCATCAAAGACTGGAATGAAGGAAGAGATAGCGAAGCAGGGATGTGAGGTAAAGAGAAGGGGAGAAAAGGAAACTCTTAGCAAATAGCTTCAATTTTTTCCAGTCAAGTATGAGATGGAGTCCTCAGCTGAGAAGGTGGGAAAAAGGATGATGTGAGAGGCTTACAGAGAAGAGAGAGAGAGAGAGAGAGAGAGAGAGAGAGAGAGAGAGAGAGAGAGAGAGAGAGAGAGAGAGAGAGAGAAAGCTTTGGAAGAGTTGCTGCAGTGAATGGGGCAGAGAACAGAATAGGGAGGAGTAGAAGGATTGCCTTGATGCAATGAGAACTCACTTGAAATCAGATAATATAAATCTGAAGTGGAGCCAATCAGCATAGTTTTCAGACATTTTCCAGCTCCATTCAGCAACATGTGAATGGGAGGGATGGAGGAGGATGGTGGGAGTAATCCAGGGTTGAATGTTTGTCAAAGCATAATAGGTAATAGGGCAAGGGGGCAAGGAATTTGAAAGAAGAGGAGTTCGAGGCAACTAGGTGGTACATTAGATAGAGCACCGGTCCTAGAGTCAGGAGAATCTGAGTTCAAATCCAGCTTCAGACACTTACTAAATATATGACCCTAGGCAAGTCACTTAAACTCAATTCACTCACACAACACACACACACACACACACACAAGAAGGAAAGGAGTTGAATTGATTTACCAAGGGTCAACACAAGGGAGGAGAGTATAATTAGTGCAGAAGTCATAGCCTGAGAAAGATCTTGGGAGGTGAAGGAATTGGAGGTGTCAGTGAAGATGAAGAATGGGGTAAGACCTATACATCTGCTCCAAAATTATAGTACCACCCTAGAATGGAGATTCTTCCTATCCCCAATACATGGTAAAAATGTTAGTTTTGCCAGACAAAAATGCTCTCCTTCCTCAGACCTACACAATCCACATGATTTATAGTACCAGTTAAGGGAAAAATCCAGGTTTGGTCCTCTGCATCATAGCTCTAAACCTTACTCAGCTCTGGCTCTTACAGGACTGGCTTGAACTATGAACTCTTTTGCGCCACTCCACCAATGCTGCTCCACCTGGCATTTGTCCTTTCCATCTGCAATTGATTCTGCGGCCACCACTGGGTGGCCTCTCTACCTGACATCCTTTTCCTACTTCATGGCTTCTCTAGGGAAGGATTAAAACTCTTAAGTGAGAGTGCCAGGGATCTAGTTAACATATTTCCACAAATGTTGTTAATCGGGTCCAAACCTTTGCCCTGCCCATAAAAGGGACACTTGAGTGACTAAGCAGGCTTCTCTAAAGACCAGCTGACTCTTTCTTTTCAGTTTAGGAAAACTCAATACCATTCCCCTCTTCCCTACTTCAAGATGCAAGCAGTTGGAACACTCCCCAACCCCATTCCCATGTCACTGAATACCTTCAGCTGTGTCCTTTTTGGCCCATAGACTCACTTCCTGTAATACAATTAAAATTTACAATCCTAGGTTCATTTACACATTCATATCTCACCCAGTCACAGTCCCACAAATATCAGGATTTAATCCTTAAAGCAAAAATGAGGCAATTAGCATGTAGCTTTAAAATCATACAAATGGTTTTTATTTAGGATTGATTAGAGGAAGTGAGAGTGGGGAATGGGATGGAGATGGTGTTGGTGGTTCTTCAAATATCTTTATTTCTATTTTCAAGAATTAATTTACTCTATTAAAATTACATTGGTACTCTTCCTTCTCCTGAAAGGGAAACAAAGGAAATTACTAATATATCAAAGGGAAGAGGGAAAACATGCTGAATGCCAAAGTGGACAAAATCATCTAGTGTTTTTGTTTGTTTTGTTTTTATCCCAGACTCCAACACTGAATACCCTGTAATGACCTTTTTTGCAGATACTACTCTCCAGTCTCATTCAAAATATTCATCAAACAAGGTCCACCTACTTTACATACAGTTGTCATGTGAAAACAAGGAACTACTCTTAGATCTTTTTGGTCAGGGCCGCTATGTTGGCTTCTTCCTGTTCCTTTTCCTTTGATCTCCTCCTTTCCCCTGCTTCCTGATGGGCTCTTGTCCTGCTTCTCAGGCTCTCTCTATCTTTTCTCTCCTTTCTGTCCTCAGGTTCCTGAAAGAGAAGGATCAGACAGCTATAAAGTCACAACAGCTGACAATGCTTGGTATTTCTCCTAGCATTGCAACCAGGCGTGGTAAAAGCATTGGTCATGGTAGTTTTCTATTTCTAAACAAAGCAGCCTTTATGTATCAGGCTCCAAATGTGGACATTTTCATAATAGATCACCCTAAAACTAAGGTTGTTATAAAAGTGTAGGTCAGTCACTTTATGCACATGTGAAAAAATAAGGAGTAAATATCATCTTAAATCAATGGAAAGGGGCTTGTTATGTGTCAGTCCAGTGCACATCTGACCTAATTCACCCTACTTTTCTGACCAAAACTGGCAACTAGGACAAATTCAGATGGGTTAAGGAAGGTGAGGTGCAAAGGACAGTCTGATGACAATGTAGTCACATCATGAGAAGGGGTAGCCTGGTCCCAAGAGATTGTAGAGGCAGCTAGGTAATGCAGTGGAGAAACTACTGGTCCTAAAGTTTAAATCTAGCCTCAGAGAACTACTAACTGTGTGACCCTGGGCAAGTCATTTAACTCCTACATGCCTCAGCTTCTCCAGCTGTAAAATAGTGATCATAATTGTTCCTACCTCCCAGGGTCGTTGAGAGGAAGAAATGAGATAACGTTTTTAAAGTGCTTTGCAAACCTTAAATCAATATATAAATGCTATCTATTATGATCATAGGAGGAGGAAAGATGGACCTAGGAAAGGTGTACCCTAGTAGCAGAACAATGGGATTATATTCCACAGAGACAATCTACTCATGTGGAAGTATAGCTTGGTTGGAGACTATGAGACCAGGTGGAGGAGACCAAGGTTGCTGCTGAGAGGAAACATGCCCCTCTCTGATGAGGAAATGCAGACCTCTGGATATCAGTACTCTGGGGCAAAGCAGTGATCCCCCAACCAAGTCAACAGCGCTCTATCTTACACAGTCTCAAGTTCTATGTCACATTGCTAGATAATATGTGATATTAAAAAAGCTCCTTAGGGGCAGCTAGGTGGCGCAGTGGATAGAGCACCAGCCCTGAAGTCAGGAAGACCTGAGTTCAAATCCAGTCTCAGACCAAATACTTGACACTTACTAGCTGTGTGACCCTGGGCAAGTCACTTAACCCCAATTGCCAAAAAAAAAAAGAAAGCTCCTTAAAATGTGCAAAATTCTTTAAATATAATCCTCTTTTCTACTCCTCATTGTATAAGATAATATCTAAGTTCATCGATGTTTGTCAAGCTCTTGAGGGAAAAAAATAATGTAAAAAAAATGAGTTGGTCTTGTGAAGACTTGTAAAAGTCTTTACCTGTAAAAAACTTGTAAAGACCAGAAAAAGAGATGTGCTCCATTGATACTTATGTAGTATAAAGAAAAATTGGGGAAGGCCCTCAGCACATTGGGTGGACCTTCCTATGGTGAATTTCTGGGAGGAGATGAATGAGATCTGCACAGAACAAGAAGAATAAACAATTACAATCTACATCATTGAAGAGAATGCTAACATGACATCATAAATCCATTGGGGTTATTATTTATTTCTATTATTAATTAACGTAATCATTATATTAATAGTTTATTGTTGTTGACATTATTGTTAATTTATATTCATACAAATCCACAAAGGAAATGCCTTATCTCACATAACTCCTCTCTTCTATACGTTTTTAATCTCCTTCAAGGAGTGTAAGAACCCCTCAGAACAGCTGCTGCTCCTTAAATAGTCTCCAATCAATGGTCCCTAGGTGCTTTCTGCATCAATTTTTGCTATACCTTTTAGAAATGCAGAGAAAAGTGTTAACAGCCAAGATCTAGCAGGACCACTAGAGGGGGCAAAGTGAAAATTTTCTTCTCACCTCATGTTGTGAAAAGTAGAAATGAGCAAACCAATTATTGTAGAGGGGTACCTAGTAGGTTCTTAGTGCAGGGCAGAGGGAAGGCTTACTAGGTGTGATGATAATGGGCAAACATGCCCAAAACACTGATGTTTAAAGTTCCCAGCAATCATTATTTTCAAAGGAGTCATTTAACAGTAAAAGGACTAGGCATGTGATATAAAATTTTACATGATGTAAAATTTGAAATGAAAATTTTCATCCTATCTATATTTTTTTTGCCTTATGTGTATTTTTAAAAAAATTCCTGGCATTAGTTGACACAGTTTGGTCTTTCGAGGTATTCTAAAATTCCCATCCTTAAAACTTGGGATCATTAAGGTCATCACTACCTATAAATATTCAATATAAAATTGTACAGTGCTTTGAACATATGTATACTTTCTCATTCATTCATTCGTAATCCTACTACTAAGTAACAGTAAACTAGAGAGTAAGTGGATCTTAGATCTAGTTTTCAGTGAACAAGGTGATTCCATAGGAACCCATATTTTTAAGCGTTTCCAGATATCAAATAATGCCTGTTAACTTACCAAAGAGACTGGTCTTTTGGTTCTAATGCAGAGCTGCTGCTCAAAGTATTCTGAAAATTCCTGGATGGAATGTGATCTACCTTTGGGTTTCATTTGCCCCTGCAATGAACTGCTCTGGGAGCACATTTTGCCTGCCCTCATGTGACGATCGCCTCCAAATTCATGTTCTTCATGAGAATGCCTTCTGGGGTGGCCAGAAACTGGAACAACTGTGGAGGGTCCATGAATGGTGGACATGTGGAGGGCAGCAAACTGTGTCTGAAGAAAAGAGAATGTTCTATATTAATATAGAAACAAGATATCTATAATGGCTTTCAGCTCAACAAAATTCACTCTGAAGCAGGTTTATACTTAAGTAAGAATTTCATTCCACAGTGAGGAAACAGGCTGGATGTCCAAGGATTGTCATTCAGCTCTGGTTCTTCTCTATTGGTAGGATATCAGTAAGCAGTTTCTCAAGACTGACCTTCAGACTGAGAGAATCCAGTCCAACATGTTTTTGCTTTGATGAGTGAAGCTGCAAGTTCACTAATGCACATTCTCCTCCTAAGCAGCATACAAAGTCTAAATAATGAGGGTTTTGATAAGGGCTTAAGAGAGAGAATTAATATTACCTTAGATCTAATAACTTTGTTTATGTTGTTATTGAATTGGTAAACGACTTGAAGAGAACAGAGAAAGTATGACTCCACTGAGGCATAGGAAGAGGAGCTCCTATTTTTAGTTCTTTTGCATAATTGAGATCAAATGAGACAGCATAGGTAAGCCATTTCATAAATACTAAAACATTATGTAAATACCAGAAATTATTATTGATTATTATAGCTCCATTTAAAAATATTTTCCTTTATTTCATTAAATATTTCCCAATTGCGTGTAAAAAAATTTAACGATCATTTTTTTAAATTGTGAGTTCCAAATTCTCTCCCTCCCTCCTTCCCCTTTTCCCTCCTTGAGAAGACAAGCAATTTGATATCCATTATACATATGAAGTCATGTAAAACATAATTCCCTATTAGCCATGTGGCAAAAGAGAACACAAGCAAAATAAAACAATAAAAATAAGGAAAGTTTTTGAAAGTAAGCTTCAATCTGCATTCAGAGTTCATCAGTTCTCTCTCTGCAGACGGACAGCATTTTTCATCACAGATCCCATGGAATTATCTTGGATCATTGTCTTGAACAGAGTAGTTAAGTCTTTCACAGTTGATCATCCTTACAATATTGCTGTTACTGTGCTCAATGTTATCCTGGTTCTGTTCACTTCACTTTTCATCAGTTCATATAAGACTTCCCAGGTTTTTCTGAAATCAATCTGCTCATCATTTCTTATAGCACAATAGTATTCTATCACAATCATAGACCACAACTTGTTCAACCATTCCCCATTTGATGGGTATCTCCTCGATTTCCAATTCTTTTCCACCACACACACACACAAAAAAAGCTGCCATAAATTTTTTTGTATGTAGAGGTCCTTTTCCCTCATATTTGATCTCTTTGAGATATAAACCTAGCAGTGTATTGCTGGGTCAAAGGATATGCACAGTTTTATAGCCCTTTGGTCATAGTTCCAAAGTGTTCTCCAAAATAATTGGACTAGTTCACAGCTCTATCAATAGTCCATTGGTGCCCAAATTTTTCCATATCCCCTCCAGCATTTGTCATTTTCCTTTTCTGCCATGGTAGCCGATCTGATAAACGTGAGGTGATATCTCAGAGTTGTTTTGATTTGTATTTCTCTAATTAGTAGTGATTAGAGCATTTTTATGTGACTATTGATAACTTTGATGTCTTCTTCTGAAAACTACCTCTTCATATCCTTTAACCATTTATTAACTGGGGAATGGCTCTTATTTTTATAACTTTGGCTTGGTTCTTTATATGTTTGAGATATGTCATATGTTGTATACTGCAACTTTGCTGAGTTGCTAATTCTTTCAACTAGTTTTTAGTTGATTCTCTAGGGTTCTCTAAGTATACCATCATATCATCTGTGGAGTGATAGTTTTGTTTCCTCATTGATTATTTTTACTCTTTCAACTTCTTTTATTTGTCTTATTACTATAGCTAGCATTTCTAGTATAATAACCAAAAAATAGTGATGATAATGGACATCCTTGCTTCACTCCTGATCTTACTAAAAGGCTTCCAGTTTATTCCCATTATAAATAATGCTTGCTGAGCCAAGATGGAAGAGTAAAAGCAGTGATTTGCTTGAGCTCTCCCCAAACCCCACCAAATACCTGTAAAAAATGGCTCTAAACAAATTCTAGAGCAGCAGAACTCACAAAAGGACAGAGTGAAACAAATTTCCAGCCCAAGACAACCTGGATGGTTGATTGGAAAGGTCTATCGCACCAGGCTGGGAGAGAAACGCAGTTCAGTGTGGGCACATAGGCAAAACAGACCTCAGCGAACCTGGAGCAGCCCTCAAAGGATTGAATCATGGGCAGCTGTAGCAGTTTCCAGACTTCTCCACCCACAAACACCAAAGACAACTTAGAAGGTCAGTAGGAAAGGTCTGTGACCATGGTGAGAGTGCAGCTTGGTCCCAACCCCAGTCCTGGTACAGCCCTGGGGCAGTGGCTGCTTCCTGAGCTTCTGTTCCACAGACTGAGGGGGAATCGAGTGGCTGATCACAGAGGGATTGCAGGGATCTCTTTGCCAGTGCTGAGGCAGGATTCTCTTCCTTTGCCTGTGCTTAGATCTGGATCACAGTTCTGTGTGGCAGTCCTGGGGCGAGGAGGAATACTGGAGTGGCAGAGCTTGTAGTGGCAGTGGAGAGAGAATCCTCCTCACAGTTCCAAGGCAGAAAAGAGTGCTTGTCACTCACAGACCACAGTACAGGCCAGGAAAGGAGTAAGCACCTCACCCTTGATCATACCACCTTGGAAGAACTGAAAACTTACAGGTCCCTAGAAGTACCCCTGAAAACAGCTGCACAAAACCCCTAAAGCTTGGGACAGTACATTCTCCACACTAGAAGCAGACCCCAACTTAACAGAAAGTTTAAAACTCAAGCAATTTGCTGGGATCATGACCAAACTGCCCCAAAAAAGTCAGACCATAGGATATTCCTTTGGTGACAAAGATCAAAACATACAACCAGAAGAAGACAATAAAGTCAAAGCTCCTACATCCAAAGCCTCCAAGAAAAAGATGAATCAATTCCAGGCCATGGAAGATGTCAAAAAGGATTTTGAGAAGCAAGTAAAAGAAGCAGAGGAAAAACTGGGAAGAGAAATGAGAGTGATGCAAGAAAATCATGAAAAACAAGTCAACAGCTTAATAAAGGAGACCCAAAAAAATACTGAAGAAAATAACACCTTAAAAAATAGCCTAACCCAAATAGTAAAAGAGGTCCAAAAAGCCAATGAGGAGAAGAATGCCCTAAAAAGCAAAATTGGCCAAATGGAAAAGGAAGTCCAAAAGCTCACTGAAAACAATACTTCCTCACCAAAAAAGAAAAGAAAAGAAAAGAAAATACTTCCTTAAAAATTAGAATAGAGCAATTGGAAACTGGTGACTTTAAGAGAAATCAAGACATTGTAAAACAAAACCAAAAGAATGAAAAAACAGAAGACAATGTGAAATATCTCATTGGAAAAACAACTGACATGGAAAATAGATCCAGGAGAGAAAATTTTAAAATTACTGGACTATCTGAAAGCCATGATCAAAAAAAGAGCCTAGACATCATCTTTCAAGAAATTATCAAGGAAAACTGTCCTGGTATTCTAGAACCAGAGGGTAAAATAGAAATGGAAAGAAAACACCAATCACTTCCTGAAGAGATCCCCAAGGGAAAACTCCTAGGAATACTGCAGCCAAATTCCAGAGTTCCCAGGTCAAGGAGAAAATATTGCAAGCAGCCAGAAAGAAACAATTCAAGTTTTGTGGAAACACAATCAGGATAACACAGGATTTAGCAGCTTCTACATTAAGGGATTGCAGGTCTTGGAATATGATATTCCAGATGGCAAAGGAGATAGGATTACAGCCAAGAATCACCTACCCAGCAAAACTGAGTATAATCCTTCAGGAGGAAAAAAAGACATTCAGTGAAATAGAGAACTTTCAAGCATTCTTGATGAAAAGACCAGAGCTGAATAGAAAATTTGACCAAATACAAGACTCGAGAGAAGCATGAAGAGGTAAACAGGAAAGAGAAATCACAAGGTATTTATTAAGGTTGAATTGTTTACATTCCTACATGGAAAGATGATATTCATAACTCATAAGACCTTTGTCGTACTAGGATAGTTGGAGGGGAAAAAAAATATATGTATAGATAGATTGATAGAGGGCACAGGGTGAGTTGAAGATGAATGGGTGATATCTGGAGAATAAAATCAAGGGGTAAGAGAGGATTATACGGGGAGAAGGAGAAAGGGACAGGTAGAATGGGGCAAATTATCTCACATAAAACAGATAATAAAAGGCTTTTACAGTGGAGGGGAAGTGGAATGAGTGAATCTTATTCTCACTGGATTTGGCTTAAGGAGGGAATAACACATACACTCAATTGGGTATGGAAAGTTATCTTATCCTACAGGAAAATAGGGGGGAAGGGAATAAGAGAGCTGGGGGAGGGCACGATAGAGGGGAAGGTAGGTTGGGGGAGGGGGTAATCAGAAGCAAAAACTTCTAAGGAGAGACAGAATCAAAAGAGAGAATAGAATAAATGGGAGGTGGGATAGAATGAAGGGAAATATAGTTTTCCACAACATAACTACTATGGAAGTGTTTTGCATGACTATACATGTATAACCTGCATAGAGTTGCTTGCCTTCTCAGTGAGGGTGGGTGGGAAGGGAGGAAGTGAGAAAATTTGGAACCCAAAGTTTCAAAAACAAATGTTAAAATTTGCTTTCACATGCAACTGGGAAATAAGATATACAGACAATGGGGTATGGAAAGCTATCCTGCCTTACAGGAAAATAGAAGAGGAAGGAGATAAGAAGAGAGGGGGAGATAGAAGGGAGGGCAGATTAAGGGAAGGGGTATTCAGAATTCACACTGTCTTGGGGTTGGGGGAAGGATAAATTGGGGAGAAAATTTGGAACTCAAAATCTTGTGTAAGTGAATGTTGAAAACTAAAAATAAATTAATGAATCTTAAAAAAGATGAATAATGCTTGCTCTTGGTTTTAGATAGATACTACTTATTTTAAGAAAGGTTCCATTGATTCCTATGCTTTCTAGTGGTTTGGTTTTTTTTTTTTAATAGGAACGGGTATTGAATTTTGTCAAAAG